TGAATATGACTGAAAAATTTAATTTTTTCTGAAAAGGTGGTGTCTATTTACTTGTGACCACTCAGTGTAGACATTCATGTTCACAAGTATGTACTTTATGATGCTTTTACTGGCGAAACCATGGTTGTAATAAAAGAAATATTTTTGAAATGTACAATTGTCTTCCTCAACTCTGTAATTATGGAGTTTCACCAGGTAGCTACGGTTTCAAGTATTTATTCTGTTTTAATTTTTTTTAATCAGTAGAACTAAATAGTCCCATGGTAGCTCAGAGGTAATTCTGTGGGCTTATAAAGCTTTAAGTCTGGTTTCGATACCCGGGGTAGGCAGAGCCCATGTAGCCCATTGTGTAGTATACTTAATAATAAACAGACAAACAAAAGTAAATAATAAAATAGAGAAATGAAATAAAATAATTCTAAACTACTGTGCTGTGATGTTCTCCTTATGCTGCTTTATATAAGTGTGATTACGTTCTTCTGACCTCTAGGTCCTTTTCTTACGTTAAGTTCTCCTTATGCTGCTTTATATAAGTGTGGTTATGTTCATCTGACCTCTAAGTCTGTTTCTTATGTTAAGTTGTCTTTATGCTGCTTTATATAAGTGTGGTTATGTTCATTGACCTTTAGATGGGTTTTTTATATAAGTAAATCTTCTTTATACATCTTTATAGAAGTGTAGTTATGTTCATCTGACTTCTATGTCCGTTTCTACGTTAAGTTTTCTTTATGCTGATGTATAGAAGTGTGGCTATGTTCATCTATCCTGTAGAACAGCTTTAGGTATACTAACCTGTTTGACATCTCACTTCAAAGTTCACCATACACCTACCAACCTTATGATTGCTACTGTTGCTATTTCATCTAAGCATTTCATATCTCAAAACACATCAGTATTTCAAAACTTTATTTTAATTTTAAATATATAAATGAATGCAAAAAAGTTGAGTTGCACAAAGACAATAATGTGCTATAAAAGCTTTATAAGAGGAAATAATACAAATCCATGAAGAAAACACTGATAAATGCTTTTCCAGTCAAGTTTCAACAAATGTTAATATTTAAGAATGTATTGCTTCAGTTACAAATTTTACATCCTATAATAAAGACAACAACTAAACTCTCTTTTACAGTATTGTTTCATATGATAACTAAACTCTCTCTTACAATATTGTTTCATAACTAAACTCTCTTACAGTATTGTTTCATATGATAAATAAACTCTCTCTTACAATATTGCTTCATATGACTAGCCTCTCTTTTACATTATTGTTTCATAAGGCAACTAGAATCTCTTATACTATTTCATATGACAACTAAACTGACTCTTGCATCATCTTTCCATATGACAACTATACTCTCTCTCTCTCTCTTACATTATTGTTTCATATGACAGCTAAAATCTCTCTCTCTTATAGCATTGGTTTGTATAACAAGTAAGGCTTCATTATAACATTGATATATCAAAGAAAACTTGTTATAAAGAAAAAGCTGCAATTAGCACTGCCAAATTTAAGAAATTCTCTGTGTACTTGATACTAAAAATGTTTAGTGCCTATTCGAGTATTAAAATTATGAAAGTAAAAATATCAATGTGCATTTTTAAAACAACAATTATTTTATCTCCAAATTTTGGAGGCTAAACTTTTTACTTAAAGACATAGAACCGTTAAGGTATAAGAACAATTGTTAGTTTGGCATAAAAGATGTTTCCTGAAGATGCAAATAGTATGTTTTTTATCAGGAGTGAGAACTTCATTTCAATAGATTATGTGCACAAAATTAATTATTTTCTAGAAAGAATGAGAGCCTAAGCCATAGTAATTTTATTATTTACATATTTCAATTTCTATGTGTTTTAGCAGTGGTCAAGTAAGACAACATGAATTATTGTAAAATATGTGGTTATTCATTATCACCCAAATATTCCAAACCTACTGTTTGTTGAAAAGAAAAGGAAAAAACAACAACTAAGTAACTTCTTTCTAGCACTTAAAACATTCATCTTATGGTATCAGAACAGTACAAAAACTATATATATCAAAAGTAACATTCTAAAATTCAAATAAAAACTTAGCTGATAATTCTAATACTTTAATATTCATAAGCTTATTAGAAAATCATGTGAAAACAAACAATTATTTTAATTAATAATTTTCAAAACAGTGTTTTAACTGAGGACCTTTCTCCAGTATCATGTTTATTCTTCGTCAATGCCCTGAGCACAGATTACTGTTTGCAATAATGTAAAGTTCTATATAGTAATGTTTTTCAAATATAAAGTTGATTTGTCTTTAAGAAGCTGAACACAGGCTTATGTACAATCATGATTTTACATCAGTCTTTATTTATGTCAGGTTTCTTCTAATAACATTTTTCTACTATAATGTTAATTTTATTTCATAATTTGAAGATCTAAATGAAACAAAATAAAAATGTTGAGTTTATTGTGTTTACTACTTTCAAAAGTTGTGAAGCTATTTAATAAACAATTTTGTAAAAGTTCAAGGTCTTCACTATACTGTAACATCTGTCTCCTACATCATGAACACCTGTCTCGCTACACTGTGAATGCCTGTCCTACTAAAGTGTGAATATCTATCTCGTTACACTGTCAACACATTTTCCATCATACTGTGAATATGAAACTATCCCACCACACTGGGAGCCCCTGTTCCACTACAGTCCTTGTATATTACTAATACCTGTTCTAATACACTGGGAACCCCTGTTCCACTATCGTGTGAACAACTAATTGTCCTTGTATATTACTAATACTTGTTCCAATACATTGGGAATCCCTGTTCCACTATAGTGTGAACAACTAATTGTTCTTGTATATTACTAATACTTGTTCCAATACATTGGGAACCCTTGTTCCACTATAGTGTGAACAACTAATTGTCCTTGTATATTATTAATACCTGTTCCAATACACTGCTAATCCCTGTTCCACTATAGTGTTTACAACTAATTGTCCTTGTATATTATTAATTTCTGTTCCAATACACTGCTAACCCCTGTTCCATGTTTACAACTAATTGTCCTTGTATATTACTAATACTTGTTCCAATACACTGGGAACCCCTCTTCCACTATAGTGTGAACAACTAATTGTCCTTGTATATTATTAATACCTGTTCCAATACACTGCTAACCCCTGTTCCACTATAGTGTTTACAACTAATTGTTCTTGTATGTTACTAATGCCTGTTCCAATACACTGGGAACCCTTGTTCTACTATAGTGTGAACAACTAATTGTCCTTGTATATTATTAATTTCTGTTCCAATACACTGCTAACCCCTGTTCCACTAGTGTTTACAACTAATTGTTCTTGTATGTTACTAATGCCTGTTCCAATACACTGGGAACCCTTGTTCCATTATAGTGTGAACAACTAATTGTCCTTGTATATTATTAATACCTGTTC